TCATCTCAAGTGTTTAAATATCTTAGGGAAAAAACCTTCATTATATCCTCAACACAGTGCAGCAGAAACAAGACAATTTTTTTATTTTTCTGAGGGTGGGGGCAGCAGAAGGATAATTCCAACTCTGAAGGAACAGTGAAAGAATACTAAGAAGTCATGTAGCTCTATTTATTCTCCCACTTCTCAGAGTCTAATACTCCCCATAGTTAAGAAAATAGCAACTCTGTGAAGTTTATATCCTTGTAATAGAGTGCCTGATTTAGGTGCAATGATGATGAATCTGTTGTGAAAATTTTGACTATTCTTTCATAAGGAGATTGTAAGATTTAGATGTATCAATAAAACTCAAGCATGAAAAATGCATGAAGTATCTAATCATTTGTACGTGATCTTAACTTTCTTCCTCGAGAATCAAGAATGTCTAGAATGACAAGACTGAGAAGCTCAAAGATGCTCTTTCTTAGTTGTTGTCCATGGTAAACACAACTCAAAATTAGTGTTACCACATAAACAATTTTCTCGTGATGAACAAGGGATGGAGTATCAGAATCATAGTGTCAAGAAACCGTGGCCCGTTAAATGATTTATGTATTGAAGTTGCAACTTAATTACATGACCAGAACACATTATCATGGCCAGGATTTTTAGTAACAATTTCATTGATAATTTTCCCATGCATATGAGAGATTTAACGTGGAGATAAAAATAGTAAACAGCTAGCTCAAAATGATTTCATATAAACTACGATAACAGAATTATCGCAGGACAAAGTATCTCTTACATTTATTCAAACCAAGTTGAAAATAATGAATGATTTTATCAACACCAAGATAATTGCCAGCCAAATATTATAAAGGTGAATGGAAACTATAGAGTTGACAGAATAAGCTCATATAAGATCAGGATGAAAACACTTGTAATTGTGGAACTTTTAGCGATGTTTCATGTTGTCAGTGAATTTGTTTTGTATCAACTTGGCCAATGGAATTAAAATTTAGTTACAATTAGTTCATTCCATCCACCTTTGTTAGTTTGACTAAAGGAAAATTTGATGTGGCCGTCTAGTTGGTAGCAAGTTACAAAGAACTAGCCTGCCACATCATCTTTTGTGTTAGCCAAACTAACGGAGAAACAGACATGGGTGATCAAATTATAACAAAGTTTAAATTTAGTTATCAACTTGAAAGAAAACAAAGTCGGTAACCAACAAGATGGATCACTAATAGTTTAGCAACAACCAGTGTATTAAACCCAATAACACCATATATCCAATCAATCACGGTACAATACTTACTATGCCAATGCATTGACCGACCCATGGACAGTGATGATCAAATCTCTGAACACAATTGTTGCAGATGGAGCAATGAGACGCACGGGGAGGACGGTAAAGCAAACAAGTTTCACAGAACTTCACTTTAACAGTATGCTCATTCACAATCACATCCTTCATTCGAGGAAGTTTTAAATGAGGAGTCCTCCCATTGACCCACTCCATTGAAGGGGTGCTCATCTCAAATGTTTCATCACACTCGGGAGGTCTTGAATTCCGAGGTACAATCCCAGGATCTCTGCTGGATGTTAGGAAGAGAAACATTATATCCTGCATTAAATCCAAATATCAGCAAGCTATCCAAATTTGATAAGATATTCAAAGCGCCTTAATCTCAGTTCTATTCAAGTATTTAGAAGAACTGGATATCAAGAAAACATTCTCTTAGTGAAATTTAAGGCAGGATAACACTATTATTCAATTCTTGTCCTGTTGCTTAACTAATTACAATGATATAATAACTACAAACGTTGTTGGAAAGCCAAGAAAACCTTGTATATTTCACATAAACAAATTCTTTGATTTAAAAATAATAATAATAATAATAATTATTCAATCTTCACTTGTTGTGAAGAAAACTTGTTTATATTATATAACTTCCTCCGATACTGAATGCTTTAAAAGAAAAACTTCAAACAAAATTGATTTTATTGAAAATCTTAGCTATAGTTTTGAAATTTCCCTTGCATTTCTTCTATAATGGATTTTTTTTTTTAAAAAAAAAATTAATTTCAAGGGATTTGTATTGAAACTTTTAACCATGCTAGAGTTGAATGCTATCTTGCAATGAAATAATTAACATGTTTAAATTGCCAATATTAAAAAACTAAAATAAATCCGAATTTTAACAGATAATTTGCACTTCAATTCCATATAGTGCCTTTTAAGTCTAGCACATTTGTCAATCTTCGTCACTCGAAAAGAAAATACACAAACCATGAGTTCAGAAAAATATCGATAGTTTCCTGAGGGTGCATGCTCCCTCAGCAGAATATGATAAATAACACAAACCATGAGTTCAGAAAAATATCGATAGTTTCCTGAGGGTGCATGCTCCCTCAGCAGAATATGATAAATAATTTTAACTTATATGATTATTGATGTTTACTTACCAGAATGGTTAAAACTATTGCCACGATAAGTACCGAATACCAATACATTGCATGTTTGTATTCTTGATGTTTGATGATGGAGAATATTTTGATGCAAAAACCAAGTGCAGGGCCTAAAATTAGGAATGTTGATAAAAACAACGATGACCCATCAGGACCAAAGATGAACCTTCCTCCAAATAAGAATCTCTGGAACATTAAACAGAACAAAGAAACAATTGGAATCGAAGTGAATGCTTATTGCTTTATAACGATTGAAATAATGGAACTGTAATACGGGTACTATCATTTCAATGTTCACTAATGCACTGTCATCATGAATTTTAAGACATCGTAATATGAACAAAATCAACTGCAGAACTTGTCTTCTTATCATCGTTATCAAAATACTACTGAGATGGTCAGTGGGAATAACAAGCCAGATGATCTCAAAGGCACGATGAAGACACGATAATCTAAATGAATTTATCCTAACAGTTTAAACTTCCATTCGAAGACTTCAACACATAATAATCTGTTCAAGTAGAGATACTGAGGTCAATCTCCCATTTCCCATTTATGAAAATTGTATGTGTGTAATCGTTTCATGAAAACTAATGCGGGAAGAGTTGAGCACAAAATTTAAGGTAAAAAAATTTATGTACTTCTCGATGAGATGGTTCAACAAAGATTAAGTCAATTGAGTACATTAAATTGAATATGTATTTGAAACGTAAGCATAAATTTTGAATTCCAAGCCATAAAACATTGTCATTTTTGTAAAAAAAACTATAACCTCGAATAAAGAAATCAGACATTTGGCTCAAACAGCAAGATCTTGAACATGAAATGGGAGAATCCACATATGCCAAAAACCCACTTTTTCAAATCAAAATAAACCATTTTTTTCTCTAATGATTAAATGCAATAATTTCACGATCAAGAAACAAAAAGAAATGACTCACATTGTTTCCTCTCCAAACTTGATAAAGCCTCTTTGGTTTGGGTTTTTCTTGGTCCATGTAGCCCAAAAGCCAACAACCCAGAGATCAATTCAGTATGTTAATTTTTAATCACAAAATTTAAAACCCTTTTCTTCTCTTCTTCTTCAACAAAATCCCACGTGAGCGAAACACGTCAAAATCCAAAACCTGTGCTTTCTGTCGGGTCTTTATATTTCATGGCGAAACATTGGACGTTTTAATTACAGGAAAATGGAAAATCTGGTTGGCTACAGAATGTCTGTGCGTGTGAGAGAGAAAGAGAGGTTAAGGGTATAATAAAGAACCAGCTGCCTATTGCTCTCTTCTTCCTGGCACAGACAGACGGGATTTCCCAGGAAGAATGTCGTTAAAAATTCTTGTGTTTTAAAGATGCACATTTTTCTCTCATTAAAGAAATTATTTTTTATTTTTCTGTTAGGTTTTCTCTAAGATGTCACTTAACTAACTTCTCCTTTGAATCTGTCAAGGGTTAGGGTAGAGTGGGGTGGGGTGGCATGGAATGGGGTGGGTGAGGTGAGGTGGATGTTTCGAATTTTGGACCTTATATAAATTCATGTAAAAATTTAACGCAATTTATCTAAGTGATTCTCTACTTTTCAACTTTTGAACTCAATACCACTTTCGTCCCATCTATTTTTCTTGGTATATAACTCTTCAACGGTTCT